CCCCTCACAGCCCCTCACAGCCCCTCACACCCCTCACACCCCTCACAGCCCCTCACTGCACCGGCCTGTCCCCAGCACAGCCTGTTGTCACATTGATGTCACCCTGTTTGTCACCCTGTTTGTCACCCTGTTTGTCACCCTGTTTGTCACCCTGCCATCACCTGGCTGTCACCTTCCCGTCACCCTGCCCTGTGCCCTGGGGACCAGGAGATCACTGTTCCACCTTCCCAGTGCCCCCAGTCTGCTCCCTGTGCCAGGTCCCAGTACCCATTGCGGGGTCCTGGTGCTACTCCCAGTGCCCAGTCCCACTCCTGACTGGTGCCAGTGCCTGGTCACAGTCTCCAATGCCCAGTCCCCAGTCCTAGCTCCCAGCACTTAGTGGCTGGTACCAGTCCCTACTGCCAAGTCCCAGTCCCCCATCCCTGATCCCAGTTCCCAGATCCAGTCCCCAGTTCTAGTCCCCAGTGCCAGGTCCCAGCACTCAGTGCCAGGTCCAAGTCCCCAGTGTCAGCTCCCAGTGCCAGGTCCTGGTGCTACCGCCCAGTCCCAGTCCCCAGTGCCAGGTTCCAGCACCCAGCACCCAGTCCCAGCACCCAATGTCAGGTCCCAGCACTCAGTACCAGTCCCCAGTCCCAGCTTCCAGTATCAGATCCCAGCACACAGTACCACCTTCCAGTACCCAGTCCCAGCACCCAGTGCCAGCTCCCAGTGCCCTGTCCCAGTCCCCGGTGGCCAGTCCCAGTCCCATCTCCCGGTTCCCAGTGCCCCGTACCGGGGCTGCCGCGGCCGCGCTGTCCCATCCCCATGTCCCTGTGTCCCCATGTCCGTCCCTGTGTCCCCATGTCCCTGTGTCCCCGCGGGACCCGCACGGACCGGGGGGAACCGGGAAGATCCGAGGGGTGTCGGGGAACCCCGAGGAGGGTCGGGGAGCCCCGGGGGGGGGGTCGGGAAGCCCCGAGGAGGGTCGGGGAGCCCCGGGGGAGGAAGCGGAGGATGGGGTGTCCTGGAGGGACGGTGCCGGCGGGCGGGGAGGGGACCGGGGGATCGGGAGGGGAACGGAGGGGGGAGCCCGGGCCGGGGGTGGGGGTTGGGGGGGAGCCCTCCGGCGAAGTTTGCAGCGGAACAAAGGGCGGCACTGACTTTCCTGGGCCATGCTGATGACGGTCTCGGTGGTGGCGTGGTACTCGTCCTCCTCCAGGTACTCGTCGTGCTGCAGCGAGTCCCCCTGGAAGTCGTGGAGGTCCAGGAGCTGCTGGAGCGGGGGGGCCTTGGGCAGCAGCTGCTTCACCACCTCCCGGGTGATGTTGGGCGCTTCCTTCAGCCGCAGCTTGCTCAGGATCTGCGACTTGATGCTCTCCAGCCGCAGCTCTTTGCTCTGCCGCCGCCACAGGCACACGGGGCAGGCGGGCTCGGAGGCGGGGGGCTGCTCCACCGACCCCCCCCCGGCCACCACCGCCACCACCGACCCCAACAACCACCACACCGGGGCCATGCCGGGGGGGAAAACAAAAAAATACATAAAAGAAAAAGAAAAGAAAGAAGAAAAAAAATAAAACCCTTCCCCACCGGGCCGCCCCCCCGCCCCGCTTCCACCGCAACGCGCAAGGGGGGGAAGGCGGTAACGGTGGCGGGGGCGGGGAAGCGGGGACCCCGGGGGGGGCCGAAGGGGGGGGGATGAAAAAAAGCGGCGGTAGCGGCGGCCCCGGGGTTTTATACCCCAAGAGAAGTGTGTCGTCAGCGGCCTTGATTGGCTGCGGGCGCACAAAAGAGGTTCTGGCAGGGGCTTGGCACCAGCCGCCGCCGGCCCCCCGAGCCCGGGGAACGGCCCCGCCGCCGCCCGGTGCGCCCCGGACCCCCCGCCCGCCTCCCGTTCGGGGCGGGGGGCGGCGCGGCGGGACCCGCTCCCGGCAAGTGCGGCCGGGGGGATGCGCGTCCCGGCAAGTGCACCGCCCCCCGGGATGCGCGTCCCGGGCCCCCCCGGGCTCCCCCCACCCTCGGAGCCCCCCCCCCGCTCGCTCCGCTCCGCTGCCGGCCCCGGCAGAGCCCGGGAGAACCATCGGTGTGTTCCGGGAGCAGCGAGGGCTGGCACAGCCCGCCTCAGGGAAGCCCAGCTCTGACTTGGGGGGCACGGGGGTCCCCGGTGGGCTGCAGTGGGCGCTGGGGGGGTGGGGTGCCCGCCTTGGGGGAAGGCTGGCACTGGGAAGTGCTGCAGTGACCGTCAGCGGGTTCCAGGAGTAACAGGGACCTCGGCCGAGGGAAGCCCAGCCATGAATTGGGGGCACGGGGGTTCCCGGGGGCTGCAGCGGGTGCTGGGGGGGCAGAGGGGGGAGGCTGAGCCCGGGAGAAGCCAGAGTACCGTGGGAGAAGCCAGAGTACCGTGGGAGAAGCCTGGCACCGGGCAGAGCTGCGGGCACCGGGCAGAGCTGCAGCCACCGTCAGTGGGTCCCAGGAGCAACGAGGACCATCGCACCATGGCCGAGGGGAGACCAGCCACGAGCTGGGGGCGTGGGGACCCCGAGGGGTCACGGGGGTCCCGTCCCTAAGGCGGGGGCGCTCGAGCTTTGGGGGGGCAGAGCAGTGAGGTTGCCCACCCCGGGCAAAGCCTGGCACGGGGCAGATGCCGCCGTCAGTAGGTTCCAGGAGTAACAAGGATTGCCACAAGCACTGAGATCAGTGTGGGGACCCCACAGGTGACCGGGGACCACCCCCTCACTTCCGGTGCCGTCCCCATCAGAACCATGGAGAGGGGAAGAGACCCCGGGGATACACCGGCACCGCTCCGGCGCGGCGGGGTCGGTGAGGGGGTCCCGGCCCGGTGCGGTGGGGGAGTGACACGGCCTGGACGGGGGGGCTGGCCGGGGGGGGGGGGGGGGGGGGGGGGGGGGGGGGCGGCCCCGGTACTCCCCCGGTGCCAGCGCGTCCCGCCAGGGGGCGCCACTGAGCCCCGGGGTCGGTCCCACAGCGCCGGGGGGGCGGCGCCACCGCGCGGCCACCGCGGGAACTGCAGGGGGGGCACCGGGACCCCAAAGGGGGGACACGGGGGGACACGGGGGGACACAGGGACCCCAAAGGAACACACAGGGGGACACAGGGACCCCAAAGGGACACACAGAGACCCCAGGAACACACAGGGACCCCAAAAGGACACACAGAAACACCAGAGGGACACACAGAGACCCCCCCGAGGGAACTGCAAGGGGGGCACGGGGACCCCACAGGGACACAAGGGACACATGGAGACCCCAAAGGGATACACAGGGACCCACAGGGACCCCACACGGACCCCACACGGGACGCCGGGGGTAGCGGGACCTGTAGCGGGGCTTCCCCCGCCGCCACGGCAGCGCCGCTCCCCGCGGGGACACCCCGGGAAGTCGTCCCGGTCCGTCCCCCCCTACACGGGGGTCCCGCCGCCCTCGGGGGTCTCGTCACCGCCGGTGCGACCCTCCCGCCGGGCGCTGCCCCGCCGGGCCGCGGGAGCGAGCGGGTTAAAACGGCTCCGTGACGCGCCCGCCGTCCCCGCCCACGGGCCGCCCCAGGAGCTGTCAGCGGCCCCGGCCCCGGTAACGGCAGCGCGGGGGCTCCCGAGGGGGCCGGGGGTCCCCGCGGGGGCGGCTCGGGGTGGGGGGGCACGGGGGGTTGGGCCCCGGGGAGGGGGGGAAGTTTGGGCCGCGGTCGTTACGGGGGGGTCCCGTCGCCCCGCGCCTTCCGGGGGGCACCGGGGACCCCCCCCCGCCCCGACCGCTTCCTGCACACGCGGGACAGACCCCCCAAAACCTCCCACACCCCGCGGGGGCACCGGGAGGGGCACCGGGGGGAGGCGCAGCCCCACGGCCACGTGTCCATCTCCCTGTGTCCCCGTGTCCTCATGTCCCCGTGTCCCCATGCCCACGTCCTCATGTCCCCACCTGTCCATGTCACCGCGTTCCCGTCACCGCGTGTGTCCCCACGTCCCCATGTCACCCTGTCCCCACATCCTCATGTCCTCACGTCCCCACGTCCCCACCTCCACATCCCCACGTCCACGTCCCCGTGTCCCTGCAGGCCCATGTCCCCACTCCCACATCCCGACGGCCCCATGTCTGTGTCCCCACATCCCTATGTCCCCATGTCACCCTGTCCCCATGTCTCCACGTCCCCACATCCCCACGTCCCCACGTGCCCAGGCTCCCACGTCCCCATGTCCCCATGTCACCCTGTCCCCCGGTGTCCCCACACACTCCCCTTCCTCCCTCTGCTCCCGGGATCATTTCGGGGCCGGGCAGGGCCCGTCCCTGGGCTCTGCCCGTCCCGGGGGGTCCCCTGAGCGCCGTGTCCCCCCAGCCCGTCCCGCCATGGGGGGGCTGCTGCAGGCGCTCGTGGGGGTCTCGGAGAAGGCGGCGGAGCTGGCGCGGCTGTGCCGGCGGGAGGAGCCGCTCTTCCAGCTCCTGGTGGCCGAGAAGACGGGCCCCGACAGGAACAGGAGGTTCCTGCAGGACTTCAAGACCCTGGCGGACGTTCTCATCCAGGAGGTCATCAAGCACGACCTGGGCAAGGAGGTGGGTACGGACTGGGGCGGTCCCCCGGGTGCCCCACGTCCCCCGTGCCACGCTGAGCCCCCTCTGTGCCCCCCCAGTTCCCGGAGCTCCAGGGCCACATCCACGGGGAGGAGTCCAATGAGTTCAGGGACGTGCAGGGTGAGTTGGGGGTCCCTGGGGCCTGCAGGGTCGTGGCTGAGTGGGGGTCCCCATTCTGGGGTCACAGGGCTGTGGCTGGGTCAGAGCTCCCTGTTCTGGGGTTCTAAGTCGGGGGTCCCGGTGCTGGGGCACACGGGGTCACGGCTGAGGGAGAGTCCCCACACTGGGTCTGTGGAGCCGTGGCTCACTCGAGGGTCCCCTCAGCAGGGACTGTGGGACTGTGGCTGAGTTGGGGGTCTCCACACTGTAGCCACATGCTCGTGGCTGAGTTGGGGGTCCCCACACTGGGTCTTTGGGGCCGTGGCTGAGCTGAAGGTGCCCGTGACGGGGCCCAGGCTGACTCAGGGTGTGGCAGGGGGCACGGTGTCCGTGCGTGTCTGTGCCACGCGGGAGGACACGGTGGCCCTGCTGCTGTCGGTGCTGGGCCCCAAGCAGGCGGCGGCCGAGCTGCTGGCGGACGCCGTGCACCGGGACGTGGTGCTGGGGGATGTGACGCTGGCGGGCGCCGAGCCCGGTGTGTCCCCCCGGGACCTGGCCGTGTGGATAGACCCCATCGGTGAGTGGGGGGCTGCAGGGCCGGGGCGGGGGGCGGGGACCCCCGTGTGCCGCCACTGAGCCCCGGCTGCGCCCCCCAGACTCCACCAACGAGTACATCGGGGGCCGCGAGGACGTGCCCCCCGTGGATGGCATCGCCCCCGCCGGGCTCTGCTCCGCCCTGGTGCTCGTCGGGGCCTTCGACCGCCTCTCGGGCCGCCCCGTCCTGGGCGTCATCAACGAGCCCTTCTTCCGACGGGACCCCCAGACCCGCAGGTACCGGCACCGCGGGGGCACCGCGGGGGCACCGGGGCGACCCCCGGGGCCGGGGGGGATCCGCGCTCACCGTGCCCGTGTCCCCGCAGGTGGCAGGGCAGGTACCACTGGGGCGTGGCCCACGGGGACACCCGGCTGTGCTCGCTGAGCCCCCCCGAGCCCCACCCCGTGCCCAGCGTGGTGCTGAGCCGGGCGGAGGGGGCGGCCGTGCGGGGGGCTCTGGGCCCCCTGTGCGGGGGGCGCCTGCACTTCGCGGCGGGCGCGGGGTACAAGATGCTGTGCGTGATCCTGGGGCTGGCAGACGCCTACGTGCTGTCCGAGGGCACCACCTTCGCCTGGGACGCCTGTGCCCCCCACGCCATCCTGCGCGCCCTGGGCGGGGGAGTGGTGACCCTGGAGGGGGCCCTGCGGGCGCGGCGGGAGGGGCGCGCCGGGGACCCCCCCGAGCTGGTCTATAACCGCCCGGCGGAGGGGGCGGGGGGGGCCGAGCGCTGGGCGAACCGGGGGGGCCTCGTGGCTTATCTGCACCCCCAGCACCTGGAGGCCGTGCTGGGGGCACTGGCCACCGTGCCCGGGCTGTGAGCCTGCGGCGGCCGGGACCCCCGCGGGCGGGTACGGGCGGGCTGGCACCCCGGGGTTAAGGGTTCAGGATGGCTGGGATCTGGGGGTATGGGGGGGCTGGGACCAAGGACAGTGGGATGGCAGAGACCCCGGCGTGGGAGCTCAGAGGGGTCTGGGACCCTGGGGTGTGGGGTCAGGAGGGGCTGGAACCCCAAGGTGTGGGGTCAGGAGGGGCTGGGACCCCGAGGTGTGGGGTCAGGGCTGTCTGGGGTGCAGAGCGGGGGGTCTCAAGGACCTTGAGGTGCAGTCACAGGGTGACAGGGACCAAGGACAAGGGGGTGGCAGGGACCCCGGGTTTGGGGTCAGGGGTTTCAGGGATCCCGGGGTGTGGGGTCGGGGGGCTGAGACCCCGGGTTTGGGATCAGGGGTGTCAGGGACACCAGGGTACAGGATACAGGGGGACGGGGACTCCAGGGTTCCCCGGAGCTGGGGTGGCCGAGACCCCCTGACCGAGGGCAGCCGGGACGGGGTGGGAGCTCTGAGTGCCGGGTCCCCTCGGTGGGACCCTCCGTGTGTTCCCCCCCATTAAAGCGCCTCTCGCACCCCCGTGTCTGTGCTGCCGGGGCGGGGCGGGCCCGGGGCGGTGTCGGGGCGGGTCCGGGGTCCTGTTGACTCCCCCGGGCCCGTCACATGATCGGGGAGCGCTCGGGAAGGACGGCGGGGAACGGGACCGGGAGCGCCGGGATCACCGGGACCGGGTGGGGATCGGCACCGGGACCACCGGGAACGGGGCGGGGAGCGGCACCGGGACCACCGGGAACGGGGGGAAGAGCGGTATTGGGAGCACCGGGAGCGGCACCGGGATCACCGGGAACTCGCTGAGGCTCCTGGGCTGTGGGGGGAGCGGCACCAGGAACTTGGGGAGCCCCTGGACCGGGGTGGGGAGGGGGATCGGGACCACCGGGACCGGCAGGGGTTGTGGGGCAGCCCCGGGAGCTCCGGGAGCGGGGGCGGCAGCACCGGGAATTCCGGGAGCAGTGGGAGCAGGGCGGGAGCGGTGCCGGGACACCGGGGCTCGGTCCCTGGGATCGGGACTGGGGGTCTCGGGCCGGTGAACGGGAGCGGGGCTCGGCCCGGGGTCGGTGCTGAGCGGCGGCTCCCCCAGGACGGGCCATGGCGGTCGAGGGGGGCATGAAATGCGTGAAGTTCCTGGTTTTCTTCTTCAACTTCATCTTCTGGGTAAGTGCGGGGCCGGGGGGCACCGGAGGGACAGCCCGGGGGGGTCCCGGGGCCGGCAGAACCCCGTAGGGGGACCCAGCCCCCCCCCATCCCCCAGACCCTGAGTTGGGGGTCACCGGGACGGGGGGGGGGGAGTGTCCTGCTGCCGGGGGGTGGTCCCGGAGGGGCAGGAGGGGACCCCTGTGCCCGCTCTGGGTCTCTGCAGCCCCATGTGCCATCCGTGGGTTCCGGGGTTAACGGGGGGAGCCCCGCCCTGGGGTCACGGCGGGGACCCCGCGTGGGGATGGGGGGGGACACCCCCCCTGCCTGGGGTCCCCCGATAAGCGGGGCGCGGGTTTGGGGAAGTCGGGGTGAGGAAAGAGGCGCGGGAGCCCAACGGCCGCAGCGGGGGATGGGGCTGGGGGGGTCACGGGCCCCTTCCCGGCCGCTCTCTCGCCCCCCCACGCAGGGAGCCACTTGTCCCCACCCTAATCCTGCCGGGCTGAGTCACCCCTCGAGGGCCGGGGGAGGCGGGGGGGGACACGGTGACACGGCGGGACACGGCGCCAGCCCCCCCGCCCCCCCCCGTGTTTGTGCAGCCGAGCCCACGCCCCGCGAGCAAACAGGGCACGGCACGGGGGGGTCCCGCCGCCGCCGGGACACGGGGGAAGCGTGCCGGGGGTCCCACCCTTGCGGGGGGCTTGGAAATGGGGGGGGAATAGACGCCACAGCCGGGCAGGGGCGAGGTGTCCCAGCTCCCGTGGGAGGGGGCTGCTGGTGTTTCCTGGTGGGATAAACTCCCCCCCCCCGGCACCCCCGATCCGCAGGGATCCACAGGGACCCCCAGGGCAGGGAGCCGGTGCCAGATCCCCCCTCCGAGGCCTCGCGTGGCCGGAAGGCCGGACTTCCTGGACTTTCCGGCGCTCGTGGGGCCAGCGGTGCCCCCCCCCGTGCCCCTCTCCCACCGCGGGGGGGCTGCGCTGGGAGAGAAACCTCCCATGGCCCCCAGGAAGGGGGTCCCGGGTGTGAAGCCAAACCCCAGAGAGGCTGCGGGTGCCCCCCCACCCTGGTGGCTAGGGGTGGTCCCGGGGGGATCCCGGCCGTGCCCCAACGCTCTGTGCCCCCCCTCTGTGCCCCCCAGGTATGCGGCGTGGCCCTGATCGCCATCGGCATCTACGCCCAGGTGGCCCTGGGTAAGGCCCTGGTGGTCAGCAGCGGCTCCTCGGCCGGGACCCCCGTGGCCATCCTGGTCCTGGGCGTCATCATCTTCTTCATCTCCTTCTTCGGCTGCTGCGGCGCCTGGAAGGAGAGTTACTGCATGGTCACCACGGTGAGGGGGGAGACCCTGCTGGGCCCCCCGGGACATCCCCATCCAACCCCCCCACAGGGACACCCCCATCCACCCTGACCCCCCCAATGTGACCCCCAACCCAATCTCCCCTCCCTGAGCCCCCACTGTGACCCCCTCAACTCGCCCCTTCACTGTGAACCCCCTCCATAACCCCTCACTAACTGCCACCATGACCCCCCCCCACTCTGACCCCCCCAAAACACCCGACCCTCCCCTCCTGAAACTCTCCCTGTAACCCCCATCATGACCCTTCCTCGCTCTGAGCCCTCACCTGACCCTGCCACTACAACCCCCACTTATCCCCCATGAACCCCCCCCCCCCCTGTGACCCCCCCCCCCCCCCCCCGGGGCCCCCCTGACCCCCCCGTGCCCCCCCAGTTCGCCGTCCTGCTCAGCATCATCTTCCTGGTGGAAATCGCCGCTGCCATCGCCGGATACGTCTTCAAGGACAAGGTGGGAACATGTGGGACAGGGACATGTCCCCCCCTCCCCCAGGGTCCTGGGGACCCCCTGGCCCCGGTGTGACCCCCTCACCCCCCAGGTGAGGTTGGTGCTGAAGGAGGGGCTGCAGGAGGCCATGGACAAGTACGAGAAGGACCCGGGATTGACCGAAGCGCTGGATGAGCTCCAGAGGGAGGTGAGTATCGGGGTGGGGGTGTGGGGGGGGCATCCAGGCCCCCCTGACCTCCCCCCTCCTCTCAGTTCAAGTGCTGCGGGGCCAACAACTACACGGACTGGGCCAACATCGAGCAGTTCCGGGCCAACGACACCGTGCCCAGGTCGTGCTGCCGCGTCAACACCACGCTCTGCAACGTCCACCCCAGCCCTGAGACCGTCTATGAGAAGGTGAGACCCCCCCCCCCCCGGCCCCCCCTGCCATGGCCCGGGGGGGGTCCTGCACCCCCTGAACCCCCCTGTGCTCCCCAGGGCTGCCTGGAGAGCATCGAGGCGTGGATGAAGAAGAACATCCTGATCGTGGCCGCGGTGGCTCTGGGCATCGCCTTCTTCGAGGTGGGATGTGGGGCTGAGCCCCCCCAGTGTGGGCTGAGCCCCCCCAGTGTGGGCTGAACCCCCCCAGTGTGGGACTGACCCCTTGGTGTGGGGCTGAACCCCTGCAATGCAGGGCTGACCCCTCCCAACACCCCCACTGTGGGACTGACCCCCCTTTTTCCCCCCCCCAGATCCTGGGCATCATCTTCGCCTGCTGCCTCATGAGGGGCATCCGCAGCGGCTACGAGGTCATGTAGCCACCCCGACACCCCCAGGGGTGCTCTGGGGTCCCCAGGTGTGGAAATAAAGAGAAAAAGCTTCTGTAGAGCTGAGTGTGTCCCCCAGGACTGGGGGGCGTGGGGGGTCCCTCGGGGGTGGGACAAGGACCTTCCTGGGTGGGGGCCATGTCAGTGTCCCCAAATCCTCATGTGCCTCCTCAGTGTCTCCAGGTTCCCACGTGTCACTGTGATGTCCCCAGCAATCCCCGAGCAGGCTGGGGTCAGGCTGGGGGGCTTATTCACCACCCTTGGGGGGGTCTCACAGCCCTTGGGGGGGGCCTGGGGGCTCTGTGGGCCACCTCAATGTCCCCAACAGTCCCTGAGTGCCACCTCAATGTCCCCAAACCCCCATGTGTAACCTCAGTGTCCCCAAATTCCCGAGTGCCAACAGCCCCCAGCAGCCCCCGAGGTGGGAGTCGGGCCGGGGAGTTTATTCGCCACATTTTGGGGGTCTCACCGCCCCCGGGGGGGTCTGGGGGCGGTCTAACGGACACGGTGGGCCGGCTTGGGCAGGATGGTGGCCAGGACCAGGTCCACGATGCAGGAGGGCAGGTAGGAGGCCGGGAGCCAGATGAGCTTCGCGTCCCAGCCCGCGCTGTAGCGGGTCCGGGGGTGTCGCGCCCCCAGCGCGTGTTCGATGCACCCCGTGACCTTGGTCAGGTCCGCGTCACACATCAGGGTCATGATGAACCTCTGCACCTTCAGGTCTGAGGGGGAAAAGGGGGCATCAGGCATGGGAGGGGAAGGGGGTTCAGGGAGGGGGAAACAGACAGCAGTGACTTTCTGCACCTTGAGGTCAAGGTGAAGTGAGAAAGGAGAGCGGGGGAACTGAGGCAGAGATGAGCTGTTGCACCTTGAGGTGTCAGGGATACAGGAGAAGTGGGAGTAGGTAAGGGGAAACTGAGGCAGGAAGGAGATGCTGCACCCTGAGGTCTCGAGGGTGTGAAAAAGGAAGGTCAGGAGAGGGGGAACCGAGGCAGAGATGAGCTGGTGCACCTGGTGTAGCATCGTGTGGGTGCAAAGGATGCCGGAAGTGGGGTGGTGTGGAAGGAAACTGAGGAAGCTCAGGGGGATGAGGGAAAAGAGGGTTCAGGAGGAGGGAAACTGAGGCAGAGCCCTCCTGCCCACTCATACTTACAGAAGCCCCCCCCTCACAGTTTTGGAAGCCCCCATCCCCTCCCATTTTTGAAAGAAGTCCCCCCCTCACCCACATTTTTGGAAGAAGTCCTCCCCGTAGCTGAGCCGTGTCTCGGGCGCCAGGCGCTCCCAGAGCTGCTGCAGCGACGCCTCGAGCACCTCGAGGTTGGTCACGGCCGTCTTGAAGAACCCGGGCTCGACGATGCTCACCTTGACCCCGAAGTGGTACATGTCCCTCCTGGGGGGCACGGGCGGGTCAGGGGGGCTCCAGGACCCCATGGGGAGGGGTCAGGGGTGGGCGGGGGGCTCCAGGGCTGGTGGGGCCTGGCACGCACCGCAGGCTGTCAGAGAAGGCCTCGACGCAGTACTTGGACATGCAGTAGCCGCCGCCGTTGGCTGAGACCCGGCCCAGGACACTGGACGTGTTGACCACCCGGCCCCGCGCCCGTTTGAGCAGCGGCAGCAGCTGCAGCGTCACCTCGATGGCCCCGAAGGTGTTGACGGCCATGACCCGCCGATAGTCCTCGATGTCCATCCACTCCGTGGGGCCGATCGGGTTGGCCACCCCCGCGTTGTTCACCAGCCCGAACAGGCCTGTGGAGGGCAGGGGTGTGGTCCCCCTGCCATG